TATATAAGTCAGCTATCATGGTGATTTTGCAGCTATAGAGGTGTGTAATGCTTGAGTTGAGAACTATGAGCTATAAATAAAGGATTGTCATCTTATTTGAGTCTCCCCTAAACGAGTAGTGCTAAAATAGCACAAAATAGTACTACAGTAGTGCAAAATAGCGAAAATTGGAGGACCACATTTGCAGTAGTGCTATAATAGTATCATGTTGGCACTACATGGCACTATAGAAAAAGTGATAGTGAAGAGTAGTTATATCTAGTACCAAGTATACTAATTAGTGCTTAGTTGCACTACTGAAGAAGTGTGTCTGAATAGTAGCTCTAATGTAGATGTCATCTCTGCTAACACTTGCTAATATAGATGAGATTATCTGAATAGTGATAATTAGTGTCAATTCGCAAAGGCTGTTTTTCCAGATGAGGTAGGGAGAATCCTGAAAAGCTTCTACATAGGCATCGGCATGGACCCATATCGGTCAGTGAAACATTCATGAGGTACACCGCATTCTGACAGCTCAGAAAGTCGCAAAATTCGCTCTCTGACGCGCCATCTCAGTCTGGTAATTACTGATCCACTGTACTCGACGGCGATGGCGTACAGTTTTGAACGTCAAGAGCCTGGAATCTACTTGTGGTCGTTAGTATGTAGAATGTGATGTGAGTGATGCCTTTCGACATGAGAAGTTATGCAGCGATTGTGGCCAGGCAGGGATTGAGCAGCACGCTTGGGCCATGTCCGGTCACAAGGTTTCGATTAGGTTAGGTCGAACTTCATGAACGGATTATCATCTGGAAGCAGGTTTGAATATGATGGATCCACTCACTACAGTCTAAGACCCGAAGAATGCTAACCGAGATGCACCTTCAAGAGCTTGGAACATTTCTTTCCAGACGCTGCACAGCACTGGGGGTCGAGTATAGCTAGTGAACAATCATCGAAGTTTCCTGACATTCTCCATGCTTGTCGACTCGCTTTTGGGTGTTTGTCAAGCCCACGCTAGCGAAGGAGATGCCCGGCTCGTTGTGCATCCATCTCGCACTGAATTGCAGCTGATTACTGGACAGTTCAATCAAGTACTTAGGGATTGATATCGACAGCCTTTTTCCTCTCGCATTAGAACGCATGCAGTGCCTACGCATATACAGAACCCTGTGAAGACTTACCATCCAGGAGAAGTCTTCGTCGAAGTTCTCACACATGGCCCTATGAAATGTGAGTCTTATCAGGTGGAACGAAAGAAGGGGCCTCAACTGGGAGGATGATGTTGCCCCAGCCGTGCTCCGGAGGGTATTTAAGTGCCAGTGGTCATGAAATTACAGCCTAGTTTCAGTGACATGTACCATCTCTAGACTGCTATCAGCAGAGTAGATCCGGATATAATCTCGCGAAGTCAGGACAAAATCGACGAGACCAGAGTAGAAATCCTAGAAATCGGCCTTCCAGTCGCATCGAGGAGGAACTCTTAGCAAAGCCCTATGCAGGAGTCCAATCTTTGACGGGTGTTACGAGGGGCAGGCAACAACATGTGTTGCTTCATCTAGCGTGGACGTGCTGGGAACTATGGAATGTGGAGGTGAGAGGTAGCGCTCACTTCATTATGCACTTGCGGGCACCTATAATCCGCCGTGCGCTGCTTCTAGCCTATATCTTCACAGCGCTCAGACATGCCGGTGCATGCATTGTCCCAACATCTTCCAGAGTCTCTTTCACCATTTCTTACTATGCGTGAGTGCCTATCAACGGTGCGACTGCCTCTCGGCGGTCTACTTCTGTAATTACTCTCCCTCTGGATCCAGTTAATTGCCCTACGAGGCCGAATCTCATGATAGGTGTAATGTACATGATCTGTCTACTTGTTTGAGCAAGATACTGTTGCGCACCAAATGCGAGCCATGGCTCATGCCAGCAAGGGGGGTTTGAAGGTGGGAGTAACGATGACGGATGGTGCAAGAGGCCTTATCAGTGTACCGACTGACTCGTGTTGCGGCCACCCGTACACTCCTGGCCAAAGGGAACGGGTTATAAACCTGTTTCCCACGGGGTACGATTATGTCCCCGGGTCTCATTTACTCCTGTAATTTAGAGTACTACATCCGCTTTTTGGTCTGCAGACTCGAGCCTCTACCTAGAGTTCGGGGACGTCTCAATTGGATCATATGTGATGTTCATTGAGCCGTTGTGAGGAGTTCAGAGTCAACCTGTCATACGTCTAAGACATATTCATGGCCATGTCGTGGCACCAACATGGGAGCGCACAAGAACCGAGGACTTGTATTTGTCTGCAGACTGAGATGTTTCATCGTAGTAGCTGTGAATACAATTTCTTATAGCGTTTGAACGAGTTGGAGACCCCTGTTTGAGCATGAGGGATTTTGTAACGACTAGCTGAAAATGGAACGTGCGGGAATTGCACCACGCACAACCGTTGGACTACCCGTCCCACTTTCCCAGCCCGTTACAGCCACTAAGCACTGTTACCTCGGGTGACTAAGCCGGGTACTGCCGTACTTCTCTGTGACGGTGCGTCATCTGTGACGCCACCGTTACAGATTTACAGTCTCCTTCTGACCACGATTCTTCCCCTTCCCTTATGAGACTCCAAGGTATGCTCCGGCTCCTTGTCCAGCAAAGCTTCCCAGCCCTCTCCTAGAACCTCGTTGTAATGTTGTGGGCGGACATAATAAGGTGGTCCGGTTTGGGCATCATCATCGATCGGAAAGATGAGCGTAATGAGAATACCGCCGGACTTGACTATTTCTGCCATTTGACGCCCCCAATATCCCCGTCGTGCTGGAGGGATTGCAACGAAAAAACTGCGAGAATATTCATCGATCCACTGCGGTATCGAAGGGCAGGACACTCACGTGTAATCATAGACAAGGTCAAACTTGACTCCCGTCAATGCGAAGAAATCTGCTACCTCGAAACGAACGTGGATGTTGGCCCGATATCCCAGAGGTTTGCATACCTCGTTGTAGTCTCTACTTTTCGGAGGCCGCTGAATATCTGCTCAGAAAGCCTATCAAATCGGCTAGGGTGACTTGCCATCCTCGGAACCAGAATAGACCCACTCTTGAGCGGCCGCTATCGCGGTCGGCGAGATGTCGATACCTAGCGTCTCAAGACTGAGAGTTTTCGCGATTCAGATTGCGTCATATCCCTAGCAGACAAGTCAGACACAGGCTTTCGAATCTGATATGATTATTCGTACGCGTCCGCATCCTGGCACAAGAGCGCGGCCCTCTGGGCAGAGCAAGTGCCTAATCATCCAAGACCTCTTTCAAGGCGGGCTGGTAGCTCCCTGCATCCCAGGGCGTCGTGTCACTTCTCCTGTCTTCGATTAAGGAAGGCGAGACACATCTCCTGAGAAAGTTGATACCCACCAGGCGACATCCCATCCCCTCTCCCTGTGTTCCTCAATCATTTGTCGTACCTGTGCCATCCGAGAGGGGCCATTCTCTGGTGTCCCAGCGCTCACTGTGTCCGGGTGTGCTGACAGACACTAACGATGTGAGCTCTGGTGCTGGGTCTTTGCGGTGGTCTTGGAGGTCCTTACATAGCCTGAATTCGACAGTACTGTGTGTCTCACGCCCAATGAGATCGTCCGGCGGGGTGAGTCGTACTTGCACATGGTCACGAGACCAGCCCAAGTTGAGAATGCATGAAATATTCCAACGAACTTCGAGTGAATGTTGCTAGAATTAGAGAACCCGAAGCGCATCGCGAGTGATATAGGGTAGATCAACACAGCTGCCTGAGAATGAGGAACGTCCATTGGCCAGTATAAGATACAGATGAGAGAGCTAGTAGTGCAACATGCGGCAGTAAACGAAAAGTGTCAGGACGTCGTCACATCGTGTGTTCTCGTAAGTAGGGTCGTACTCGTTGTCAGTGTATATCATGGAAGTGGAAGAGCGGTCATAGCTTGCGTGGAGAGCTGACGGGCGAACCAAGCAATGTGCTGGACGGACGTTCGAGACGACTCCGCAAGCGCTCTACTTCGCGCTCGAGGTTCAGAGACTTCTGTTTGAAATCTGCCGCCTCACGCTCAGCACGACGCTTGGCGAGTTGTAGGTTGTTCTCTGACGTTTGCTATGAATGAACGCTGTCAGCCAGGAGCGGAGGGTCATATGGGTCGACATACGAGCTCATCCATTGTTTGGCGCATGGAAACGATTTTTGACTCGTAGTTCTTCACCTCTTCTTCCAGACGTGAACGCTGACGTTCCGAGTCATGCAGAGCCTTATCGGTCGTCCGATGGATTCGCGAAGTGTCCTTCGTTGACTGAGTGAGTTGGCTTGTGAGTTCCTCGATCCTGGATTCCAACCGTCTCGAGCCAGTGGCAGGGCGAGGCGCGTTCAGCGATCTGGTCTCGAGATCGACGATTCGAAGATTGAGATCCTTGACCTGCTTCTCGAGGTTGGCCTGTATTTAGTTAGCAATAGTCCAAAAAAGCTAAGTGAGAACGCCCACATTCATCTTATCAAGTTCAGAATTCTCCACTCTGATCTTTCCAAGTTCAATCTGGCACTCGTTCGCGTACGATTCCGCCTTCTTCATCCGCTCAAACGCCATCGAGACGCGGTCGCCCTGTTCCTCGAGAGAACGCTCAAGGTCCTGTTTCTCCAGACGCAGCCGCTGCACCTCCGTATCCGACGACATCCTGTTTGTATCGACGTGGTCCATCTTGATAGCCTCGAGCTCTGCTTGCAGTGCTCGGCGGGCTTTCTGTAGAAGCGCGCGATCGGTTTCCGCGTCGTTCAGTACGCTGCGAAGCTCGCGGACTTGAGAATGAAGGGAAACGATTTGCGACTGCTGCTCTGCTTGGGCAGCAACAGACGCATCGTACGCCTTCGTGACGTCTTGGATCTTGGTCTCGAGACGCTCTTTGTCCTTCTTCCATGAACCACCATTGTAAACCTCGTCGTCGTAACGCAATTGCAGCTCGTCGTACTCGGAGCGAAGCTTACGGCTCTCCTCACGTAGGCGACTCATTGTGTCTCGTTGCGACTGCAACTCTGCAACGATACATTAGCGCTCCAGGGAGAATGTGGGAAGCTGTCCTCAGACCACTGACCTTCGCTCAGTTGGGCAAGTTCGGCTATGATTTTATCGATAAATAAGTGGCCTGCAGCGACTGCATGTTGAAAACGTACCTTGATACTTCTTACGGGTTTGGTCGGCAGCGAAGTCTCGTTCTGCTATGTCTTGCTGGTGCTGCTTACGCTCGTCCTCCATTTCTTCCGCAAGGCGCTGGCGCAAGAGTGCAAGATCAGACGACTCGCGGTCTTCTTCTTCAAGCTTGTGTTCAAGTTCTTGAATGCGTTGCTCGGCAGTCTGCAATCGCTGTTCAGTCGCTTGGCGGTCCGCAACAGCCTCGGCGTGGGCTTTCTCAGCGTCAGCCAGCGCGCGTCGAGCTACAGGCAGATATGTGTCACTACTGCCCATTCGTGGAAATAAGTGCGGACAAACCGAACGCCTCCGCGCGAGCAGCCTTGGCACGATTGATCTCGGCTTCTTCGTATCGCTTGAGGTACTCGTCCGTCTTCGTCTTGTATGCGTCGATTGCTTCCTGGAGTTCTGACAATGGTTACGATGTCAGTGTCAGGACAGAGTCTCAATATTGGTGTGGGATCTGAATACCAGAATGGATTGTTGCAGTGGCGGAAGAGGTGATCTCCAGCTCTTGCAACCGGGCTTGAAGACTGCGCTTGATGGCTGTCACGACATGGTGAACATTCTGTGTGTCGAAGGGACGAGGATCACCCACCAATCTCGTCATTCTTGGCAAGGATTTCGGCATCCAGACGCTCCTTCAAGGCATTGACCTCCCCTTGCAGCTGCTTCTTGGAGGCTGTCAATTCTTGCAGCTGGCGACGCTGGTCCTCGACCTCCATCTGAGCCGCGCGTTGCTGGACGACCTGTTGACATTGTTATCAGCTAGCCAACTCAGATTCCGACAAGCTGGCACCCGTACCAAGGCCTTCCGCGACTCTTCGAGACGCGTGTAGCTTTCACGTTCCTGATCGATTGTGTTCTGGAAGCGATCCCACATCGCTTGAACGCCGTCCAGCTGGGCAGCCTGAGCCGCACGACGTGCCTCCGCCTCTTCTTCCAGCAACTCGGCCAGACGCGCATTCTCCTTCGCGAGGCGGGCACGAGTGTTCTCAATAGACTGCTTGGAGCCGTCGTTGTTCTGAAGCTCCTCTGTGACCTCGCGCAAGGAAGTTTCGAGGTACTGCCGAATGCGAGTCGACGCCGCCATCTGGAGCTCCAAAGCCTGTACCTGTTGCCGAAGCTTGTCGACCTGAGCTTGCCGATCGGGTGTGCGAGGAATCTCCGTAGGAGGGCCGTCTTTGAATCGGACCGTGCCGTTGGAGCGGGGCTTGCTTGGAGTCACATTCGCCAAGGTTTGTTCGCCAGTGCGACTACCCGTGAGATGCCGCGTCTGGGATCGATGCGAGAGCTCACGTTCCATCTCTTCGTCGGCGAGCTGTAATTCACGGAGAAGTCGCGTGCGGAAGGAGTCATCCTTGGGGCCGTTGCTCATGATGAGTCTACGAATCTCGGCGTGTTGACGGTCGACGTGCTCCTTGATCCTCGCAGCTGTAGACTTGGCCAGCTCTGATTCTTCCAGTTGCGACTCGAGCTGGCTGATACGTGACTCGTACTGCCTCTGGAGCTTGGCGACGGAGTGAGGACCTTCGGTTTCATCAGCTAGCCTTGTCAGCTCGATTTCGAGGTTATCCTTGGCCTTCTGAACCATCATCGTGCGCCGCTCGGCTTCAGCCGCCTGCGCTTGCGCGTCCTTCAGCTCGTTCTGTAACCGCCTGACGTGCACCTCGGCGGCTTCACGAGCACGACGTTCGTTCTCAAAGTCCGCAAGGGCACGGGCAGCTTTCGCCTCCTGGTCGCGAACCTTCTTCTCCTTGGCACGGATGGCGACCTCCTCGTTCGCTTTCTCACGAGCCAAGTCTTCCGCCTCGGTCGTCAGACGTGTCTTCGCCTTCTCGAGGGAGCGGATGTAGGCAGCTTGCTTCTGGAGCTCGAGCTGAGCCTCGGCCAGCTGGCGGTCCGTGACGCGCTTTGCCTCCTCCAAGACGTGGACGTGTTCGACAATGGTTTTATCCTGCTTCGCCTCGAGCTGCTTGACTTCCCACTCGCGTGCCTTCAAGTCTCTGAGGATCTGGTTCATGTCCTTCTCGAACTTGAGGTTGATGTCCTTGAGCCTGTTTGCCTCCGCCTTGTGTTTCGATGCGGTCTCCTCGAGCTTCGTCCGCTTGGCGGTCTCTGCCTCCAGTTGCTTTTTGAGGGTCTCAACCTGGCGGTCAAGAGCGGCCTTATCGCGCTCAAGTTGGAGGGCAGCGTCCTCAAAGTCTGCATAACGGGAGTGCGTGCTGGCAAGCTGACGTTCGAGGCTCTATGGATAGGTGAGAAGTCAGGACTCGATGTCAGCAGAAGGGTATGCAGCCGCCTACCTCCTTAGCCTTTTGGACCTCTGCGAGCTGATTGTCAGTGTCGATCGCACGAGAGCGGACAGACTGGAGCTCGGATTCGAGCGCGCGCTTGGATTTCTCCGCCTCAGCGAGCGCCGCCTCGGTCTTCTTTAGCTGCGCGCGACTGGCTTGCTCACGATCAGAGAGCGACTGGTGGCTAGACTGGATGTTCTTGTGCTCGCGAGTGACCGTCTCGAGCTCAACCTTCAGCTTGTTCTGAGTCTCCGCGGCACCCCTACGGCTCTCGGTGAGGTCTGCAGAAAGCTTGGAGACCTGCAAACGGAGGTCCGCCAGTTCCTCCTCCTTACTCTTCTCGACTTCACTGCGACGGGTCTCCTCGGTGACCTTCGCCTCGAGGAGAGCGCGTAGCTCGTCGAGCTCAGCCTGAAGTTTGATCTGGGCACTCGCGTTACGCTGCTTGTCCTTGCGCTCCGAGTCGAGCTCGGCGGTGAGCGTGTCGATGGTCGCCTGGAGTTCAGTGATTTCGCGCAGGAGCGCGTCGCGATCGGCCTTGAACTTATCGAGCTCATCCGAGAGCTTGTCCGTTTGCTGCTCCTTGCTCTTGATCATGTTGGAATACTCGGTAGCGGTCCGCGCCATCTCGGCGAGCTGTTCCTTTAGATGACGGGCGTCCTTCTCGAGCGCATCGGTCTTCTCGCGTAGGACGTCCCTGTCGACAAGGTCCGGTCAGTTTGTGTATATATCAGAAGCTTGATGCAGTGCCCACTTGTTGCGCTGCTCTGCAGACAGCTTACTGTCGAGGTCAGTCATCGTCGACTCCATCCGCTCCTTGGCGCGAGCCAGATCCTCCTCGCGTTGGGCTATCAGATTCTTCAGCTCCTCCGCCTGCTTCTCGAGCACCTCCTTCTCCGCCGCGAGAACGTCGATCTCCTCCTGCGCCTCGTCCAGGTCCTTGTTGAGCTTCTCCTCACGCTCCACCCAGTCATTCTGCTCGCTCTCGAGTCGCACGAGGTGCTCCGCGGCTTGGTTGAACGCCTCCTGGAGCGTCTTGTGCTTCTCCTCGCTCTCCTTCTGCAGCTTCAGCGCGCGGTCGAGCTGCGAGTCGAGGGTGTCGAGGTCCGCCTGAAGGGCGATGATCTCCTCCTCGAGCTCGACCTCGTGGTTCTTCGCGCGCTCGAGGAGCGCATCCTTGTCGAGGCCGAGGGCGCGCTCGGCCTCGAGGTCCTCCTCGACTTTGCGCTTCTCGGCCTCCAGGCGCATCTTGAGACTCTCGAGGGCCTCGCGCTCGCGCTGGTCCCGCTCTGCACGCTCCTTTGCGAGGATGAGCTCTGCCTCCTTCCGCCTGAGCTCGTCGTCATTCCGCGTTGCGGCCAGGAGCGGTCGAACCTAGAACGATACCGCCATCAGAACCTGAATCGGTGCACCAAATCAGCCTTCTCACCTTGGTGTAGAGATTCCACCACGGCCAATCGCGCAGTTCTCCGTATATCCGCGCGTTCCGCTGAATCGTCCGTATCGCGACCGCGCGATTGAGTATCTTCTTCATCTGCCTGCGCGCGGTGAACTTGCGCGCGACGGCCTGCAGCCGCGAGAAGACGTCAAAGAGCAGCGCATCCCTGCGCTCCTCGAGCTCGGCCAACACGCCCGCCTTGAAGAAGATCTTCGACGTCCCGATGCGGAAGATGGACTTGTCCAGCTCGAGCGCGTCGACCATGCGTAGGCACGCCTTGCGGCCATCCATGTACCCTGGGGGAATGATGCCCGGGGTGAGCACCTCGTACCGCTGCCGGAACTCGACGAACGGTAGGCGGTTCGGGTACCCGAGCCGCGCGATCCGGATGCCCTCCAGCACCCCGTTGCACCGCAGCTGGTCGAGCACCAGCGGGACGTCGACCCGCCCGGGCTTTTTCAGCGTGTTCGGCACGATGCACCGCACGAAGTGCGGCTGCGTGCCCTGCAGCTGCGTCATCAGCGCGGCGAGCTGCTCCTTGTGCCGCTGCGCGACCGTGCGGAACGCGCCCTTCTTCGTCACCCGCTTCTTCCCGATCGTCGCCGCGTGCAGCGCGTTCGTGCCCGTGGGAAGGGGGATGTCGCTGTACTCGGCGAAGAGGGAGGCGACGTAGCGCTCCGAGGACGCGGCGAGCACACGCGTCAGGTTGTCGTTCAGCGGGTCCTTGTTCTTCTCCAGCCAGCCGTCGGTGCGGTACTCGACCCGCCCCGCGTAGTGGTGCACGATGAAGCCCTGCTCGAACCGCGTCTGCTCGTACTTGAACGTGCCGGGATGCGGCTCCTCCCCCGTCTGCGGCTCGGCAGCCCAGATCGCGTGGAGCTTGTTCGTGAACGTGCGGTCTGTCGCCTTGGGCATGATACACTCCTCGTCAAGGAGACTGAGGACACCGATGGTAGCACCGCTGGACTCAATGAGGTCGATCGTCGGTTGCAGGTCCAAGCCGAAGTTGACGTAGTCCCACTCGATACCCTCGCGCGCGTACTCCTCCTGCTCGAGAACGAACATATGGTGGTTGAAGAACTGCTGGAGCTTCTCGTTGGTGTAGTTGATCAGCAGCTGCTCGTAGCCGTTGACGTCGAAAATCTCAAAACCCGCGATATCGAGCACACCGATGAACGTAGACTTGGACGACGGGCGGTCGAGAGCGCGGTTGATGCGGTCGACGAGCATCCCGAACGACTTCTCGTACAGCGTCTTGCAGAGGGACGCGAGCTCTTCGAGAGCCTGCTGGCGCGTGCGCGCTTGTGTAACCCATTCACGGCCGGCGAGCACACGAGGTCGCAAGACGGCCTTCGTGAATTCGGACATGGGGAGCCCGAGGAGATGGCAGGCGCGCTCTGCCTGCGACGGATCTGGCATGGTCGCGTCGTCGGAGCGCGACGCCGCGATGGCGATGTTGCCGATGTGCAGCACAGCGGCGACGACGCGGAAGAGGTCGAGCTGCTCCGCAGCGGTGAAGCCGACCGTGTCGAGTGCGTTCTGGGCCGCGGGACGTCAGGGTGCGTGCAGCGTGGAGTACGGGAGTGCACAGACCTTGAGCAGGTTCCATTCCTCCTGGTCGTCGATGCCGTCCACCTCCCGTCTGCTCTTGTTCAGGTACTCGTAGTCCTCCACGTCGCCGTCCAGCAGCAAGGTCTCTGAGCTATCGTCAGTACACGACGCGACGCTGCAAACTACCTCTGTTTACCTTTCAGGCTGCCGCCGCCCTCCATGAGCTGATAGAAGACATGGAAGCTGCGCTCCGCCTCGCTGCGCACGACGACCCGACTCTTCTCGAGCAGGTACCAGTCGATGTTGGCGCCGGCAATGCTGCCGTCGGGGGAGAAGCTGATCCGGATGAACTTTCCGAACCGACTCGAGTTGTTGTTGCGCTGCGTCTGGGCGTTTCCGAACGCTTCGAGGATGGGGTTCGCCTGGAGGATCTGCCGCTCGAGGAGGCCGAGACGGCCCTTCGAGGTGAGGCCGGCAAAGCCGGAGCCGGAGCCACTGACGGAGGTCGCCTTTGAGTGCTTGCGGAGAGAGCTGCTGCGGGGGAGGCCGACGGAGGGCACGACCGAGTTGAACGTTGGGCTGGAGAGCGAGGGGGATTGGGAGTGGGAGGGGGTCAGTGAGGGGGCGTGTGCGTCGGTGGCGATGGCGGCGAGGTACTGGATGACCTTCTTGGTGCTCTCCGTCTTGCCTGCACCAGATTCGCCACTAGGGAGGGGAATGAGGAGATGATGCAACGATAGAAAATGAGGGCGTACGTGATGAGGATACTCTGGTTCTCGCGCTCCTCGCCCATATTGACCCAAGCACGTTCTGCGACTGCGAAGATGTGGGGAGGGTTCTCGTCGAGACGCTTGCCGCGGTATTGGTGTACAATGGCATCCGAATATAGGGGTAGGGATTGATATGGATTGATGGCGACCAAGAAGAGACCGGAGTAAGTCTGGGAGAGACGGAGGGGTTAGGAAGCGGGGTAATGGATGATTGTGAACACGGGCTCACGTAGATGGCACCGGAGCCATATCGGAGGCGGAGGTTGTGTACGACGCTGGCCTCGTTGAGGAAGGTGAGGTCAGCGATGTCGTCTACTCTGTCGAACTTTGGGGGATTCATCTTGGACAATGCGTAGAGAGGAACCTTGCGGATCTTGCAACAAGAGTGTCAACTAACTGAGGTATGGGATATGACAGGGAACGGGTTTACCTCTCCTCCTGAGGCCATGACGACTTCGCCGACATCGTCCTGCTCTCTGACGACCCAGCCTGCGAGGTAGCCATCTTTGTCGTCGGGAACCCAGACCCACTTCTTCTCGTTGAATTCGGCTTGTGCGGCGGCTGCTCGAGCGGCCTCTGCGCTGTGTGAGGGCCTTGGAGGGGGCATTATGGGATGCCCTGGCCCTTGGGAGGAGAGGGAGGAATGTAGGGGAACGGAGTCGGGGAACGGAGTCGGGGAACGGAGTCGAGGAGTTGAACGGGAGTCGGGGACGGACTGGGGACGCGTCGTAGACTGCCCGATATGGCATTCTACGCGACCAGGGGTCCCATCTGCGGGAAGCCGGGCCGGGAGGGACGCGACGCGACAGAACGCGTCTTGGGCGTCTGTTGGCGGTGGCTGCTCGAGTGTGTCTGTGTCTGTGTCTGTGTCTGCGTCTGCTTCCGTGTCTGCGTCCGTGTGCCTGATCTGCACCTACACCCTGTCTTTGTCTCTGTGGCCAACTATCGCTCTTTGACCCTGTGCGAGACGACAAGGACGCCGGTCGCGTCCTCTGCGTCTCACCCATGTCTCGCGTTGTCCTCTCCGCCACTCCCTGCCGCAGCCCTCACGTACTCGTCTGCCAGAACAGAAGCCGACACTCGCCAGGCCATGGACGTCGACGCTGAACCCCCAAGCTCTCAATTCCCCCTCCCCGACCCCAATCCCTCGCCCTCCTCAGCACGCGTCCACTGGGCCTCAAATCCCGAGAAACGCCTTCTCACCCGACAACTCGTCTTTCCTCCACGTTCGTCTATTTCCCTCCCTTCTCCCCGCTCTTCTTCCTGACCTCAGTTCTAGTCGACCCCCTGCCTGATGCAGTCACTCGCCCCTCCGCCCATCAACTCCCTCCCTCTCGCAATCCTCGTCCCCTCCCCCCAGACCACCCCGCCAGGGCCAAGAGGTTCGACATCCGTTCAGAAGAATCTCCCTCAATCCCTCAGCACATGGACGACCTCCAGTCCGCAATCGACAGGATGAAAGGCAAGCTCCAACAAAACGCAAAGCAAAAGGCAAACAACGAACGCCGTCAAGGCAGCCTGTCCATCCTCGACGACATGTCCACACCGCTCCTTAGGCACCCACCTAGGCGCGAGCACACAGCTGAAGGTATCCTCCCATCCAAGTCAGCTTCCAACAGGCCCTCCCGTCTTCAGACCCGTGCCTCCGAGTCAGATGTGCCGCGCGCGTCCAGGCAGGAGCGTGCAACTACCCCCGTCGGTGACCTCTCCCGCGCCGAGTCCCTCGGCATCCTTGAATCTCTACGGAAGCCAATGGATATAGATTGGGAAGCAGACATCCCCTCCAGCACGCCATCCCCGCCCTGTAGACCTCACAAGAAGCGTTCCAGCACGGCCGACGCCTCATCGCCATCCGACCCCAAGCGCGAGTCCCAGACCTCCTCCTCGTCCTCAGCCGCCGTGTCCCCCCTCAGCATCCACCATGGCTTGCACTCGCGCTCAGACTCGTTGGACGAGGACTCGTCGATGGCCATGGGGGACGCAACTGCCGATACCTCGCTCGTCGACGACGACATGCTGCCGGAGCCGCATCCGCCATCGCCCGAGGTCCCGTCCCCCTCGGCGGCAGCGATGCCCCCGCCCCGCCCTCCCCCAGTCCCTGTCCCGCAAAGGCCCAAAGCCCCGCCCGAGCCTCTCCCCCGCGCAACGCAGCCGCTCGCCCCTACGCCCTCCCTCTCCCGCCCGTTCGCCCCGCCCTCCCAGGTCCACCCCGGGCAGTCGCAGGCCGCCCGTCCGCGCGCGTCCCAGCACCCGCCCCCGCTGGGCATGCGCCGCCTGCCCGGCCAGCCCGCGACGTCCGCCAACGTCAAGAAGCCGTACAAGCTCTCGATCGGCCCCAACGTCAAGAAGCCTCCGGCCGCAGCTCAGCCCCAGCCAGCTGATGGGGCGAGAATATCCGCCCGTGCGCATGCTCGTGGTGCGGAGTGCTTGTCGCCTGCCGTGCCTGACCCGCCGCGTCTCGCTGTCCGCGCGAGTGCGACGGTGCAGGGGCCGAGGCTCGCGCCGGTGCTGGAGATGTCTGCGCGCAGGCCCATGCCCGCGCCGGAGCCGGACGAGGAGCCAAAGGACGCGAACTCGAGCGCGGATCTGTGGGCGTGGTTTGACGACTGACGGAGTGAAGTGGAAGAGCGGTTCTTGATGTCGTGTGCTCTTGCGGTATGCTCTGTGCCTCTGCTGTCTCTCCTCCTCTGCGCTATGGACAATGCATGTCTCTGATGATGCCGATTCCTGGAACGCTAGTAGTCTTGCTTTCTCGCGCACGTAATGGTCTCTGGCTATGTATTATATGTCGAATCCCCCAGCATACGTATATCCTTGCATATGGCTCTGCGTCGGTGGTAGTTGCGTAATTCAATTTCTGTCAGAATGCATACTAGCGATTTGCTTGGGTGCTGTCTCAAGCTTTCCTGTACGAGTGTTCAGGTAAGCACTGAGATAGATCGCTAGCCCGACGCATATTCGATGGATAGATATGTGCGGTCTTAACGGAATCGATTAAGATAGATACTCGGCTACTTTTTGCATTGGGCGCGTGAGCCATCTACGTGGAAGCTAGACGTTGTGAGAAATCGGTAATCCAACCTATAGCAAAACCCCCCTCAAGCAACGGGTATGCCGGCGTACTCGTCGTAGCCCAGCGCGAGGTTGAGGTTCTGTAAGACGTGCAGTATGAGGCGCCATTGAACATAGGGACATCGAGCCACGTACCTGGATGCACTGCGTAGCCGCGCCCTTCAGCAGATTATCCAAGCCGCCCTACAAGCCCCACCGTCAGCATCGCACGCATGCGCCCCGCAAACAGAGAGTACGTACGACGACAACCGCGCGATCGCCCTCGCTGTGCACTTGGAAGCCCCCCACGGTCCACCCGTGCTTGTTCTCGACGTCGACGAGCGTCGGCACCTCGCTCTTGATCGTCACCAGCCGCTCCCCGCCGTACTTCTCCTCGTACAGCGCGCGCACGTCCCGCGCCGTCGCCCGCTCGCTCAGCGGCATCGACAGCACCGACGTGATCCCGCTGAACCACGGCGCGACCGTCGGGACGAACGCGACCTTGAGCGCGCTGCCGCTGGGGAGGAGCGTCGAGAGGTGGCGCCCCGCCTCGCGCTCGTGGATGTGGTCCGTGAGCGCGTACGGGCGGATGCCGCCGTGCAGGCTCTCTGCGGTCACTTTCGGGACGGTCGTGGGCCGTCCTGAGGCGTCCGCGGGCCCTGTTACGGTGCCTGCGCCGCTGTAGCCGGACACCCCGAAGACAGTCGGCCAGGCGCCGGGTTTGAGGTATTTGAGCAGCGGGGCGACGAGCAGCTGTGTTGAGGTCGCGTAGCAGCCCGGGTTGGAGATGCGCTTGGACGAGCGGATCGAGGTACGGCCGTAGAGTTCTAGACAAAGACGAATAGATTGGGAAGAGGTACGTATATCAATACAGGCACTAGAGTGTCGAGTAGTTATCGTGAAGTTGCCTCACCCGGAAGACCGTACGTCCACCCGTCCTCGAACCGGTAGTCAGCGCTCAAGTCCACAACGACGCTACCGCTCTTTCCGTCCTTGCGCTCAGCCGCGCCCCGGTCGACCGCATCAACCAAGGGCTTGCAGACGCCGTTCGGGAGAGCCATGATCCAAGCATCGACCTCGCCGTCCTTCTCCATCCGCTCGACATCCTGGACGGAGAGGTCCGAGTACGTCACCTGCGACTTCGTGTACCCAGTGAGAGGAAAGCCCTTGAGCTGGCGGGAGGAGACGTGGGTGAGGTTGAGGTGAGGATGGGCGGAGAGCAGAGAGGTCAGCGCTTGGCCAGTGAAGCCGCGCGCTCCGATAAGCGCGACGCGCTTTTCCTCGGTGGAAGGGGCGGCGGTAGCGTAGCCGCGCGAGGTGCCCGGCACCCGGCGTCGGGCCATGGTGGAGAAGGAGCGTACACCTCCCGGAGTGCTGCCTGCGCGATGAGGCGTAGACGGTCCGACGGGAAGATAGGTGCGCGGAATACGTCCCTTCTCCTCGAAGCTCCGCACGATCTGCTCGACCTCCCGCACGTCGTGGATGCCGTACCAGAACAAGCTCTTTCCGGCACGGGTGAAGCTGCCGTCGGCGCGTTCGAAGTGCCATGCGCGGTTCTCGTCGTCCGCACGGGCGGTCCAGAAGAGTTTCCTGTGGTCCTTCTTGATTGCGTTGAAGACATTGTCCACAATGCCATTCATGACACCCGCGCGCGAAGCCAGGAGCTTCGTAAGGATCGGAACCTCATCCTCAGGGTGGGCAACGACAGCGACGACATCTAGGGGCTCGTCGCCATAGATGGTGTACGGTGTCTCCTTGAGTGCGTTCAGCACCCCAGTGACGCTCTCTTCGCCCGAAAGGACATCGGGATCGCGGTCATGTATGACTTGCCGGAGACGATCGGCGCCAACGGAATCAAGGTTCTGGTGGCGGAACAGCTTGTATCCTCGACGGATGAGCGTCCCAGCACCGCTATCAGTGAACAGCTCGCGCTGAAGCGCATCGACCGAGATAACAGCGACAGAAGAGGAGCGGGGCAGGTGGTCAAGGAGCTCCTTGAACTCGCGGAGCTTGAGCTTGGTGCCATATTTGACCCATGGCTGTTTCATGAGCTCGTCGTACTCCTGTAGGGGAGGGATGATCAGGAGGAACGCCGGAAAACGTGGGCAAGCATTGAATGCCGAACCTCGTCCAAATTTATGACATCGAGCTTCTCACCGGTGATACCGTGGAACATACCGCCCTTGTCATTGAGGAAGACGATCTTCAGCGGCTCGAGCTCCTTTGCGAGCTCGCCAGCAGCAATGTCGGCGTTAACGTTGAGTATCTGGCCTGCGTCGGACTCGGCAAGACTAGTGAGGATGGGCAGAGCACCGGCGCGAATGGAGGCTTCGATGGGGCGCTTGTCAACCTTTGTGATCTTGCCGACGAGACCGTACTTGTCCTTGTCGAGGTAGTCGGCGGTAAAGACACCGGATGTGATGGGACGGGCGCGAGTGCCTAGCTTCTCGAGGGCAGCGACGAGCTTGAGGTTCTCGTCAAGGAAGACTTTGCGAGCAATTTGAAGAGTTTTCGCGTCTAGGGGGAAGCGGCGCACGCGGGTCAGAGACTTGACGCGCGATGCTGACGTTTAGCACATACCGGTGACACGAATACCGTCGATGTAGTCCGGGACGACGCCTGCGCTCTCAATTATGCTGTTTAGTTGAGGACCGGCGCCGTGGAGTACGACGGGGTAAAGACCGACACGGTAGAGGAAGCTGAGGTTGATGGCAAGCTCTTCGACCTGGTCAAGCACGGCGCCGCCCACTTTGATGACGGCAAACTTGGCGGGGTGGGATGCATCTGCAGAGGAGGAGAAGATGCGAAGGTAGCGTTCGACCTCACGCTTGGTACCGATGGAATAGAGGAGGCGAGTGATAGTGTCCTGGAGAGATTGAGAGGTATGGTGAGACAGGAGCGACGGAGGTGTCGGTGAGATGTACACACCCTGTCGGTCTGCGCTGCGTTGGAAGCGGATGTGAGGGAGCGAACGGGGACGATGCTGGCACGACGGGGGAGATGGGCAGGAGGGACACGGGCAACGGCGGAAGCTGGAGCTCGAAGGGCAGCCCGACCCAAAAGCTTTGGCACACGGCTGACGGCGTGCATTGGAGGGAGGGGGAGATGGTCGACGTCGAGGAGGAAGACGCAGACGGTGACTCGAAGACTCGAGGTTGTGTCCAGCGTCCTGAGCGGGGTCGATTTCTGCGCCCCGATAGCCGATCCTCCTACATCTTATCTTATCTATGGGCGTCTTCTGCCGATTACCTCGGATGATCGACTTATTCAGGCCCGGGCCCGACGCACAGTACTTTTAGTACTTACTCGTCTCTCCTCGCCACAACGCTAATACTTGTTCTTCATTGATCGCACACCCGATTCCAGTGAACAGAACAGACCGTTTCACACAATGTCTACCTCTGAGTCCCAAGACATAGAAGAGGCTACTGCTACCATCGCGTATGGTCCTTCCGTCCCTTGTCCCCTTCCCCGGCCGCAGCTCATTTCCTTCACAGTCCTGGCCAGCCAGATCAAAAGACGCGTCGTTACGATCGCCAGCTTCGGTGAGTATTGCTTTTCACTCCATCTACACGTAAGACAGCGCTTTATACGCGTCCCAGTATCTGGGCTGCTTCGGGACAAGCAGCCCTCGAGGCGTCCCGCATCCTCGTCCTTTCCTCCTCTGCTACATCTACTTCTATCCTCAAGAATCTCGTTCTCCCAGGGATCGGTCACTTCTCGATTCTAGACTCTACCCTTACAACTCCAGCAGATGCTGGCAACAACTTCTTCCTCAACGCTAGCCAGAGCATCGGCAAGCCTCGGGCCCAAGAGGCCGTGCCCCTCCTCCGCGAACTGAACGAGAGCGTCCAGGGAGAGGCCGTCATACAGGATGTTAAGGAGCTTCTTAGCACAGACCAGGGAAAGGATTGGCTACGATCCTTCTCCATCATCATCGCCCATAATTTGAATAACGACGTCCTCGCTCCACTCTCCACTCTTCTCTGGGCCAATCCCAACGGCCCTCCTCTCATCTCCGTCCGGTCTGCTGGTTTCCTTGCCGAGTTCCACATTCAATACCACGAACACAGCGGTGAGTGGATCGATCGTCAAGTGAGCTGAATTGTGTCGCGTGAACTCCACATTCGTTTAGTGTCTCAATCGCACTCGGAGAATGCCCCCTCGCTCCGCATTACTCGCCCTTTCCCTGCTTTGCTCGAATGGGCTCGTAGCCTTGATCTCCAGAACATGGACCCTACTGACCATTCTCACATTCCAATGGTTGTCATCCTGGTCCGTGCCCTGGATGAGTGGTGGAAGAGCGTACGTGGATCTATATCCATCACCAACCGAGCACCAAACTGAAGGAGCATGGCATGTAGCATGATGGGAGCCTTCCTAAGACTGCAGCAGAGAAGAAAGAGTTCAAGAACAGCATACTGGCCATGAAGATCAAACTCGACGAAGAGAACTTCGAAGAAGCCGAGGCGCAAGCGTGGCGCGTTTGGTCCGAACCCGCTGTCCGTTCAGACGACCTCTTCATTGGTTCCTTCTAACTCAATCGTTGATCATGGCAGGTCCCTTCAGATATACAAGCACTGTTCTCCTTACCTCCTCTACCCACATCGCCTCAACACAACTCCACCTTCCATGCATTGCTTCAATCTCTTTCTGCCTTTGTTTCGGACCCGTCGGGACCCGGCACTTTGCCAATCAGCGCGACTTTGCCCGACATGAAGTCTGATACAAAGAACTACGTGCGACTGCAAAACCTGTACCGCGCACACGCGGAAGTAGAAAAGGTGGTCGTCGTCTGCCACTCTCTGGGCATCGCTCACCTTCATTAACCACCCGTCCGCCACCCCAGACGAAGTTCAAGGAAATTTTTGCCGCGAAGTACCCCGAGATCGCGAAGACCACCAATCCGGATGAGGTCGACAGCTTTGTCAAGAACGCGCACCACATCCGTGTCTTGCGAGGGAAGCAATGGGGTGCTTTGGACAGAGATCGCGAAGCGATTGGTAAGTAGCCAGTCCATGCCTGCAAGCTCTTAGCCCTTCCGCTGACATGCTTTCTAGTCAATTCTTTGACGAGTCAGCCCCGCGAAACTGCGACACACCTCGCACTCTCTGCCTTGTCGAACCTGCTGTCCCGAAACGCCGGTAAGCTGGCGACCATGTCCGTAGCTCCTTTCTGACCGTGAGCGCAGAAGTCACAATCGACGCCCTGAACGCCGAAGTGCTAGCCACCGTTGGTCAGGATGTCGATCTACCCGAAGAGCTCGAGGCTGCCGTTGGCGAGATGTATGTCTTCCCCAAAGATATATCTTCGGCGGTGTTTAACGGTGCTTTCGTAGCGCTCGTGCACCCACAGCTGACCTACCCAACACGGCCGCTTTCCTGGGCGGACTCGTGGCGCAAGAAGCTATCAAGGTGATCACTGAACAATATGTCCCACTCAACGGTTACTGCGTCGTCGACCTGATCGACTCCTGGACTGGCGTCATCAACTAAACATAGAAAGCACTTATCCTTTGTATCATAGATATTGTCTCTATCCCCTGTTGCTGTGTCAATTCGAAGCGTGCTGTCATTTGTGAAGTAGAGTGGTGGGCTACATTATATATACTGCGGGCATGCGCGAGATAAAGTAAGCTGGGACATTTGAGCGTACACTCTGTCGGATTGCCGAGTTAAACAGGTTATAGAGGTCATATCTCTGAGCGTGAAGGTTGCGGTTGCGATAATGGTTGTGCTCTAGCCATTCCGCTTTCGCCTGCATCTCGCGTACTACCGAGACCGATTTTGCTCAGAGCAGCCTGAAGCGCACTAAAGAACGCTTGATGTGGGGCAGGATGGATAGAGTCAATAACGTGCAGATGTATGAGGCCAGTGATGGGAGAGAACGTATATGTTGAGTTCCTTCAATAGAACACTAAGCATGTCGAGATATTATTGTTGGCAACGACAGAACACTTACACTTGCCAACCGCCTTCGGCTTTGCTAACGCGATTGATGCCATGGACCATAAGGCCTACAAAAAGGCTCTTCTCGCGGTTGCTGCGCGTTTTGCTCTGTTGCGATCGGTGTATGTCTCCCGGTGCGTTCGGATTTGCGCTGCTGTCTAGAGGTGGGCCTGACGAAGATCGAGGGCCGTGCACCCGTACCCGCTGAAGCTCCACGCGAAGATCGGTGTATAGTGCACTCAGGGTATGTCTGACGAACACCGACGAGCCCATGTAAAGGGGAAGTCCTAGCTCCGGACCGTGAAGCTGCTCTTACAGTTGAAGTAGCAAGGGAGCAGCTCACCTTCGACGTGCAACGTCCTGGGAAAAGGGGGTGGAAAAGGTACGGGTGGTCGGTACTCTAGCCTGACGTTGGGGCTGTAAATGGATATCTCGTCGCTCTTGTCTCCTTTCTCGTTCCCTCCGGAGGTGTCTACTGATGAGATGAGGCCTGTGGAGAAAAAAGTAGGGAGAGTCTGCTGAAGGATGTAGATCGCACGTCCTACAGCAGCATGGTTGAACAGCAGTCGTAGTGTCAACCAGCGTTGAGTGACATGCGATGGGTACAAATGTAGCCGATCATTACAGGGAGGATATGGCATTGCAGGAAAATGTACACTGCGGTAGCATCAGATACTCCAGACCGCGGGGTAACTTGCATCCCAACATACCTGTACGAATCTCCCACTCTTGATCAGACAGTTCTCCTGGTCCTTCTTCCTCCGGGGGTAGTGAGCCTGGTAGAGAGGAGCCTGTCGCCCTGAGTATGGAGGGCGGAGAAGAAGCTGAAGAAGGGAGAGCATGTTCTGATTCCGAGACGGATGGTTTGCCAAGAGGGACGCGTGAAGAGACATTCCGCGTGAAAACATCTGGTCGGCACTCCTGCCTTGCCATGCGGTGAAGTCGGGCGGTCGCGGTCAAGGCCGTTCGCAGCGACATGGAGAGCGAAAAGCAGGTTGACCGGCGGAGACAGCTTGCAAGAGGCGTCTGTGTGTCACAGTGTGTGCGAATGAGGGATGCCGGCAGGGGAATGTCATAGCGCCCGTTGTGGCTGCCGTTCGCGGCTCAGATTCCGAGGCCGTTGTCTGCTTCCTTCCTTCGCCATGCACTTCTCCAAGACTTACACTCAACTACTTCTCACACTTCCTCCAGACCTCAGAGAGAGCGCCATCCAGTACCGTCAGCTCAAGAAGATAATCAACCAGATTGTCGCAGAGCTTACCTCGCTCGGTGAGTCTTCCATCTGCCGTTAGCTCCGCCTCAGGACTCATATGGTCTCGATGATAGGGCTCTCCCCGGACCTTCTGCACGGGATCATACAGCAACCGCCTTCTCAAGGGCTCGATAAGGGAAAGCAAAGGGAGCGTTCCCTCACCGACTTCCCTTCGCCCCAAGCATCTTCGGAGCCGCCTTTGCATTCCTCGAGTCCTCGCGTCATCTACGAGCTTGCTGATGTCGTCGACCACGTCGAACCTCGCCTCCACCTCTATCTCGACAACTATGGGAACCAGGAGACAATATTACCGCCTGACGTCCTATCCCAGGCCCTGGGCTTCACGACATCCTGCCCAACACCACTACCTAGTCACCAATATGCCGCTTCCTCCTCATCCACTGTACCCTCCGACTCTCTGGCATCATCTGATATTGGCGACCACTTGACGACGAAAGGTTTCTCGTGAGTGCTCTTTACAATATCATTCAGCACGTCGTCCAATCCGCTCCCTAGCAATGTTCCCCAAGAGCTCATCATCCCGCTCGTATCTGATACTGTTTTCTTCCGGACGCTCTCTGAAGCTCTCGAGTCTCTATCCGCGTATCTAGTCACCAGGAAGGCCGAATTCGAAGCGACTCTGCAAGCGCTCTCTCACGAAATCTCTTCTGCGTCGCACCCATCTTCCTCCACTTCCGCATTTCACCCATATTCTCCGTTCTCATCCGACCCAGCGACCATCAATGTCTCTTCTGGTACTCTTGTAACCCAATCAAAGTCTGATCTTGAGACTTGGAGGGAGATCTTCCGCATGTACGTCGAGGCAGACATTTTTCAGGGTCACCAGGAGCGTTTTCGGGGCGAACGCGACACGGACGATGCCGCTGCTAGATTCTTTGCGTTCTCGTCCCAATTGCACGAACGTCTGTCTGAGGGAGACCTAAAGCTCAAACTCAAGCGGAGTAAAATCGCGCTGCGTACGTTCTTGGAGCTCAACACGTTCATCTTGAACTTGAGAAAGGTCTGTCTTCGGGCTCCTCCCAGAAAAGCAACATCTGAACACGCTCGCTCTTTGATCTTCAGTTCCAGGACGTCACTGCCGAGGCAACGCGGAAGATCCTCAAGAAGCATGCAAAGCGCACTGCTCTTCCCCTGGCTCCTGACCTGGCTTCCCCCTTTATTATCGTCCCAGAGGCTCGAGATCGCGCTCTCGTCCTCTCGCGACCGGTCTCTCGGGGCGCTAGCTCTCTCTCCCTCTCGCTGCTTCTCGTTCAGGCCCTGACCGAAACATTGTTGCCTATCATTCCGCATATCGATGACTACTCGTGCGTCATATGCACAAGCCTCGCTTTTAAGCCGATACGTCTTCGTTGTAGCCACTTGTTCTGTGTAAGGTGCGTCGACCAAAGCACGGTACCCAGTTTCAATGGCCGATGACTCCTTCCTTTAGGTGTCTGGTGAAGTTGCAGAAGCGAGGAGAGCAACACTGCCCCATGTGCCGTGCACCAACCGTGCTGTCTGCGGATCGCTGTGAGTGATTATCATTAATACGTTCATCGCCAAGTCTGACCGCACATGCTCTGTTCCGTAGCAAATGTTGACTGGGCTCTTCTGAATTTTATGAAGGATTGGTTTCCTAGTGAAGCTCGCAAGAAGTTGCAGCAGAATGAACGTGAGGCGGCCGAAGAGGAGTTAAGGGAGCTGGGTTTAGAATTCAGAGGATGCATTGTGGTGTGATATGAGTATTTTGATATATGCTTCGATGCATAACCATTATTGTCATTCTGGAGCTGTGAGCATTCATTAACAGAACTTGTGCAGTAGATTAATGATAAACTAGTGAGATAAGACATGGTAGGTCATAGTTCAACAAGTACAGCACAACAATACAGTAGCTGCATGTGTTATAGTAGACAGAACTCAAAAGTAAGAGTATCTGTGCCAGTGAGGATGCACATCTTTTTGGTCAATTGAGATTGCTTTAAAGTCTATACTCATACTGACAGAAAGTGTTTGAACACCCGTGATTGGGCACCTGTTGTGCGCTCCTCCTCTTAATCCTATAGGCAGTATAAGTAGACAGAGCTTGACCACAATTGAGGTATATATTGCTGTTATTGTCAGGAACATGTGTGCACAATTGGATAGCATTATAATATCTATTTTGAGCCAAAATAGCCTCAACAAATCTTAGCATGCTCTATGAGCATGAGCACAAGATTTGCCATTCCTGAGTACTAAGGAATGATTGGAATACCTCTATATTCTTGCATATATATCTTGCCATAGAGGAGACTCTATTTCATAAGTGGTTGCTAGCTTTTGGTCACCTCTCTCTTGGGAAATTAGTTCTAAAATACTAGACCAGCACATTCTATAAAGCTAGTAAATCACTTTCTTGCCATTCTTTGGTTCCCCTTATAGATACTGTGCACCCTGTTGTTATGAGTACATGTATGGAGAATGATACTAACCTACTTAGAAGTCAAGTCTCTAGCTTCATTTATGACATAGGAATCAAAATAGCCTTGAACCACTCTTACTCCCAACTGATGTTGGTACTAATTTTTCTAAGCAGAGGCCTGTATACACCATAATGTTGAATGCTGTAGAATCTTCTATATAAATAGACTCTTGTGCACAAGTATGGGAATATTCCAATCATTTCCTAGTACCTAAAAATGACAAATCTTGTGCTCATGCTCATAGAGCATGCTGAGATTTGTTGAGGCTTATTTGGCTCAAAATAAATATCATAATTCTATCAAATTTTGCACACATATTCTTGACAAGAACAGCAATACATCTGTAAAAACCACCTTTGCGAATTACACCTATTCGGTATGAATTAGCTGTCACAGCCGACGAGCTGTGCCACCAGATAAACAAAGACAAAGCTTACTGGTGAAGGGGTTGGTGCTGAGAAGCAAAGCAACCAGAGGTGACACAGCAAGAGATGTGAAGAGATGTATTCCTTAGACTAAGAAGGGGCAGTGAGGAAGATAGGGCTGCTAGCTACCTACAAAGGAGATGGGGGATCGACAAGAAGATCAAGTCTGAGGTTCCCTGCCTCAGACCCCCTACTATATATACTGATACAATGGTGCACAGACCAGGTACCTGTTGACCATCGTTTGGTCAGATTTCTCTGCCTCATGTCCTACCCCCTGACCTGCCTCATGGTGACCTTACGACTAATACCTGAGTTGTGCCAAGTCCGGACCCCTTCCAATGAGTAAGCGCTCCTGCTATCACATCAGTCACCTGCCAGTGAGTGAGGATGGGGGCTCCCCGGGCATCATGAGGTCTGGGGTTCGATTCTGGCCCCTCCACTTTCCAATACGAGTTGTCCGCGGTCAAGGTGAGCGTCTGTCCCAGTACACATGACCCCCAGGTCACGTGGCACGAGAAAACTGTGACACTACCCCCTCTTCAAGATCTGAGCTCCTGCGAAGCGTTCGAACCAAATGTTGCATTGAAACTCCCGGGTGACCAGTCGTGGATTGTTGAGAGCGATTGGCTGTGGTGCGTTTGGATGGAGGGCATAGAACTCATCAAGTAGCTCCTGCACGTATTTGACATTCCGTACGGGCTCCCAAGTCGCCTCAGAGACATCATAGCCTGCCCATTTGACGAAGTATTGCACGTATCCACGGTTGACTCGAGAGTCTAGAACCTTTTCGACTTCAAACTCGTTGTGGCCTTCGACTTCAATCGGGTCAGGTTTCTCCGGGGTTGCGGTTGCCGATCTCGTCTTCATGGTAGGGGATGAGCTTTGAAGCGTGGAAGACGGGGTGGACCTTGTTCTGCGGCGGAAGCTTGACTCTGAAGTCGACAGGTCCGATCTTTTCCGTTATTCCGTATGACCCATAGTTCTTGGCCGAGAGCTTGACCAATGAGTTACGAATCTTGAGATCGCGTCCCTTGAGCAAAACTTTGTCACCGACTTTGAAAGGAGGGTCCACACGGCCCTGGTCGTAGTACCACTTCATTCGTTCCGCGGCCATGGTGAGCAATGCCTGCGCTTGTTCCCTTGCTTCTGCACGGTTGTGGAATACATCTTCAAGGGATGGGAAGGCAAGTTCTTCACAAACGTCGGGGGCCACCTTTGGGTTGTACCCATACTCAATAAAGAATAGTGACAGGCCGGTCAACTCGTGTGGTGCATTGTTGTATGCAAACTCCGCAGTGGATAGAAGGGATGCCCAATCGTCTGGCCGATGTTCCGTGAAGATCCAAAGGTACTGCTCAAGAGATTGGTTCACTCGTTCAGTCCGTCTGTCTGTTTGTGGATGGTAGGCTGTGGACATTGACGATCGAATCCCTAGCAACTTGCAAAACTCCTTGAACGCTGCACTTGCAAACTGTGTTCCTCGGTCAGAGATAATCTGTCGGGGGATACCGTGGTGCTTCAGAATATGCTCGTAGATGAGTTTGGCTGCTTCTGTCGCTGAGAATTGATCGTCGGCTGCGAAGAAGTGAGAGCGCTTTGAGAGACGGTCCACTACTACTATGATCACTGTGAAGGTATTGCCATGTCTGTCGACTAAGGGTGGAAGTTGAGAGATGATATCAATTTACCTCCTCACTGCCCCTTCTAGTCTAGGGAATATACTTCTTCACATCTCCGTGCTGTGTCACCTCTGGTTGCTTCGCTTCTCAGCACCAACCTCTGCACCAGTAAGCTTACCCTTGTTTGGTAGCACAGCTCGTTGGCTGTGACAGTACCATAGCTTGTCCTCTCCAAGTTGTTCCAAAACTGCCCCTGTTGCGAAGTCAGATGAGTCTGTCTCTAGCCTGTACGGAGCCGTGTCATTCGGGATCTGAAGAATTGGAGCTGTCGTAAATGCGGTTTTGAGTCCTTCAAAGGCCTGTTCTTGTTCCTCTCCCCATTGCCATTGAATGCCCTTGCACGTGAGCTTAGTGAGCGGTCGGGCAATCTTGGCAAAGTCCTTAATGAAACACCGATAGAAGTTGGCTAATCCGAGGAAGGCTTGAACATGTTTGACTTTGGTTGGAATAGGCCATTCCTTGACACCTTGCACCTTAGACTCGTCCATGGAGATTGAGTCCTTTGATACGACAAGTCCGAGGAAGTGAACCGAGGGCTGCTCAAACTTGCACTTTTCAGGCTTAATGAAGAGGTCGTTGTCGCGCAGCTTCTTCAGGACCCGTTCTACCAGTTGGCGATGTAGAGTGAGGTCATCTGTGAAGATGAGGATGTCATCAATGTAGACCACGACATGTCCGGTCGCAATTTCTTCCTTTAGGACCTCATTCATCATTGCTTGAAACGAGCTGGGTGCATTGTATAGGCCGAAGGTCATAACTGTTGGTTCATACAGTCCCTTGTGAGTGATAAACCGCGGCTTTCTCTTCGTCTCCTTCACGAATGCGAACATTGTTGTAGCCCCACCTTAGGTCGAGCGAGGTGAAGATCGATGCATGCAAAAGCCTATTCACAAGGTCTGAGATCCGGGGGATCGGAAACTTGTCCTTCTTCGTGACCGCGTTCAGTGCGCGATAGTCCTGGACCAAACGTAAACTTCCATCTTTCTTACGGACAAAGAAGACTGGGGCGGCAGTAGGACTCTTGGACGTGCGGATGTAGCCTTTGTCTTCTTGCTCCGTGATCCAAGCTTCAAGCGAGTTCCGTTCGTCGAGGTTGAGCGGGTACAATTTGGCCGGCTTGAGGAGTGAGGCTCCAGAGACTAGTTCGATTGCATGATCGTAGGGCTTCCGTGTTGGCATTCTTTCCGAGGATTTCTTAGAAAAGACGTTGCTATACTGCCGGTATTGTTCTGGTACATGGTTTGACCAGTATTCGCGATCCTGCTCGCCTTTTGCTGTAGGGTTGGTATCCTTTTTCTCTTCTAACCTGGCTCACATCTGACGAGCGCTTGGGTCATCTGAGAAGTTCACTCAATGAATAAACTGATCGGCGCTCTCCCAGGATTCAGGGCCGAGGTCACCGTACTGATCTTGCGCAACATCTTCCGCTTGGAGAAGTTGCAAACTCCGTAGTTCTTCATCCTGCACTGTGTGCCGGGTGCATGTTGAGGGGCAGCGTGTGAACTCAATGTTCCCTGCATTCCAATCGAGTTCAGGGTTATGTTCACGTAGAAACACCATGCCAATGATGATGTCTTGCCGCCCAATATCTGTGACAAGGAACGACTGCCAGGCGAGGTGATCTCTGATACGGAGTAAACAACGGACGTAGTGTGTGATCAACCCCTTCTTATTCTCGGTGGCGTCTGCATTGAAAACTCGCACTTCACGAGAGAGGCGTCGTAGGGTGAGTCCGTGTTCTTGAACAAACCGGTGGTGGATAAAACAAGAGTAGGCTCCTGAATCGAGGAGAGCTTCTGACTGAACTTCATGCGTACCTTGAGTGAGGGAAACTTTGAGATCGAACGAATTTCGCGGGCGACGTGCTGATGCGAGAT